AACGTTCTCATACAAAAAGATTAACTTTTGGAGATGGAGAACAGAGCTTTGGAACGATAAACATAATGTTAATGGTAATAAACTGAGAACTTACAGGCAATTCATGATCGTAACGTTGTTGCTCCATATGTTTTAAGTATTAAATACAGGGACCACCGTCGCATTTTAGCTAGTTTTAGATCTCGATCTTTACCCATGGCTATCGAAACAGGACGTTTTAAAACTCCACCAACCCTTTTAGAAAATAGAATCTGCCCGCACTGTTTTAAATTTGTTCATCAAAACTTTGTCGAAGATGAATTTCACTTTTTAATGTTATGTCCTTTATATGGTGATCTTAGAAGTATTTTACTAAGAGAATGTATTGTTTTAAATCCGTTATTTGAAAATATTAGCGTTGATGACGCTTTCATTTATATTTTAAAATGTAAAGAAATCCAGCCTTTGTTAGCCAGTACACTTTTAAAGATGTTTAAACGTAAGCAATCATTTAGCTGGGCATTTAGCTAGACATGTAAATTTTATTGTCAATGTATTTTATAGTATATAATGTATATAATGTTTTATTGTGTCTCATAAGCCTAATGGCTGGTTGTTACTTTTTAATATGCCAAAGAACATGCATATATCTCTCTTTTGTAACATGTGAAACGTTAATAAAATAACTGTCTCTCTCTCTCACTAATTGTGGGTCTTGGAAAACATGTTCTATATTCACTCATGCAGAATACAGGTAGAGATGGTGTTCATTGGAGTGAGAGGCGCGCCAGCCAATCAGGGCGGTAACAAAGAGACTGGCTAAATTACAACCAATCAAAAAACACATGCTCATATTTGTCTGCAACGTGTTGGGTTGCGATCACGCACGCACGGATGATGTTCCTTGCACTGGAGCTGACATTGAGTCTCAATGAGAAAAAAAATATTCACACATTTTTTCACTCCCATTGTTAGTCTTTTTCTCACAAGAAAACTATGTGTAAACACGCTGCTTTGACAAAGTGCTTGCGTTCGATTTCAAAACCCTACGACCCAGGTAAACATGTGTTGATCAAGGTGTATCCCCAGTTAACTTTTTGCTGACCGTTGTTTTTTGTTTTTTGTTGAACGCCACACTCAGCAATATTCCAGCTATGTGACGGCGGCCTGTAAATAATCGTCTGGACCAGACAATCCAGTGATTGACATCATGAGCATCGATCCACGCAATTGATGACAGTAAGGGTATCCGAACAAACGAGCGGTCACTGTGACCATCAAAACAACTGCCGGGCAAAAGAAAATATATACCCATGTTCGATGGTGACTAAAAATGATACAAACAAGAAATCGTTTTTCGATGGTGATATATTCGATACGGGAACCATAGTTGTGTTTTGGAACTTTCATTTGCAGCGTTTCGGCAACTGTTCTCAGCCATGTAACCCTTTGATAATTTTTCATCATATCCCAATTGCGTACAATCACTGGAGTATCTGGTCCAGACTCGATTATTTTCAGACTGCCGTCATATAGCTAAAACTTTTGCTGAGTGCAGCGTTAAAAAACAAACAATATTTTTTGTATCTTGTTTTCAAGTGTAAACGTTCTTTCGCCCGTCAGTATATATGGCACTATTGTGTAGAGGGAATTGATTTTTGCCGAAACGTGAAGCCGCGTAATCACTGACTAATAATGCCGTGTGTCCTTTTGGATGTATTTAACCAATAGATTTTCTTAATAGCTTCTGATTGGCTAGGAACGATGAGGTCACTTATATTTTTTCATCCAAACATCGTTCTGGCTGAGGGAACATGAACTATTTGAATAGTGAAGATCTTTTATTATTGACAGTCAGCTTGTTCGGTGTAAAGTGACGGTGTTCATCGGACTGTGAAATAAGTGAAGTGGTTCACATATGTAGCCATAATTATACTACACTAAATATAGTGTGTAAATATATACATACATGTGATACTCTGTATCGTTGTAGCATGTTCAGTATCCAGTGCCTTGTGGTAATGCTGAGCCGGTACAGTCTTGATAATACGGTCACTGATGGTCTGAATAGTTCCATTGTATTGCTGAATACTACATTTCCAGCAAGAGGTGAGGTGAGATGAAATGGGGCTTAACGTCGCGTCCAAGATTATTGCACTTATATAGCGACGTGCATGCACGTGTATGTGTGTGTGGCTGCTTGTACTAGTCCGGACTGATGCCGATTTATAGTGCTAGCACACTGAGATACCATGCCGCAGTTTAACATGAATACCCCACTCAGACACAGTATACTGACTCCGAGCCGACCAGTCCTTGTTTTAGCCCCTTAATGCCGAGCGCCAGACAGGGTAACAACAAGTACCATCTTTTAACGTCTTTTGGTATGATCCAGCAAGAAGTATCTTCTTTTATCCTACTCAATTTATACTTTTGTCCATCATAAGCAAACCTACAGACACAGTATACTGACTCCGAGCCGACCAGTCCTTGTTTTAGCCCCTTAATGCCGAGCGCCAGACAGGGTAACAACAAGTACCATCTTTTAACGTCTTTTGGTATGATCCAGCAAGAAGTATCTTCTTTTATCCTACTCAATTTATACTTTTGTCCATCATAAGCAAACCTACTGACACGAGTGTGTGGTAAGACATTAACTGCAACTTGCACATTAGCCATGGTGGTATTGAATTAACATCATTAAAAAGACGACCCGTGAAGATCCGGGGTAGAATAGGTCTTCAGCAACCCATGCTTGCCGTAAAAGGCGACTATGCTTGTCGTAAAAGGCGACTAACGGGATCGTGTGGTCAGGCTCTCTGACTTGTTTGATGCATGTCATCGGTCCCAATTTGCGTGGATCGGTGTTCATGATGTCAATCACTGGATTGTCTGGTCCAGACTCGATTATTTACAGACCGCCGTCATATAGCTGGAATATTGCTGAGTGCGGCGTTAAATAACAAAACAAACAAACTCTAAAAAAGACAATATAAAATAGATTTAGGTTCATATTATTTGGAGATAATATGTGTACACAATCAGTGTACTTTACCGGGGTAGTGCACTTTACCGGGCGCACTTTTTCACATCCAATTAGCGCTGTGGGGGCTTTAGCTTATTAGCCGACGCTCTATCACTGACCACGAGCGCTATCACATGTAATCAGTGCTCGTTTAACGGGTCATTAGCACCCCATTAACATGCGTACTTCAGTAAACAATGAATTGCCAACATGACCGACCAATCGGATTAACCGGATTAACGCTTGAAAAGGTAAGAATTTATGGCTAACACTTGCCTTAAGCAAGCTACCCTGAGGACCGAAAACGGGTGTTGGATCGTTAAGACGTGAAAGTTTCCCTAAGACCGAAAACGGGTGTTGGATCGTTAAGACGTGTAAGTTTCCCTAAGACCGAAAACGGGTGTTGGATCGTTAAGACGTGTAAGTTTCCCTAAGACCGAAAACGGGTGTTGGATCGTTAAGACGTGTAAGTTTCCCTAAGACCGAAAACGGGTGTTGGATCGTTAAGACGTGTAAGTTTCCCTAAGCCCGAAAACGGGTGTTGGATCGTTAAGACGTGTAAGTTTCCCAAAGACCGAAAACGGGTGTCGGATCGTGAAACGAGAGACCGGAGCGTGAGGCTCTGTAACGGTAAAAGCGAGGCAGCGATGGCACTATAGCGCGGTAATTGAGCGGATGGTAGAGCTCGGGCTGCGCGCGGTAAACTGAATTGTTGCCGGAGGGATAAAAACTCAGGGTGAAGCATGGACACTTGATAATGTGAAGATAAGGACGGCAACTTGAACGTACTATAAATATCTTGGAATTTTGTTTCTCTCACGGTTAATATGGTCTAGAGCAAAGATACAAACATGTTATTTTAAACGTTTTCTTGGTGTTGGTAAGTTTACAGCAAAGCTATTCTGGTTGAAACTGGACGTCATTGGATGTTAATAAATACGCAAATAAGGGTAATAAGTGCTGCATTAGCCTTCCAAAGTTATGTTATATTTATAATATTATATGAGAATTGAAAAGTCAGCTGGGCATCGTATGTGAGACAAATGTTATTTAATAGAGGTCTTGCGGATGTGTGGTTATTCTAAGATGTTGGTGACAAGAACATTTTTTTGTCTGCATTAAGAAGGCGCTTAAGAGATTTCTAATTCCAAACAGGGTACCCCAGTTTGGAATCGTCAGCTTTTTTGGTGCGTTATGTTTGTATAAAAGCTCTTCTGCAAACCGAAGTTTATATAACTGTTCTCAGAGATAAACGATTAGTAAGAGCAATGTGTTAACGTTTGAGACATTATTCGTAAAATATGCCTCATACAGAATATATATGTAATTTCATTTAGTAGATTTAGTTAATACCATATCTTTTGTTGTGTTTGGGAAATATATTCACTTGAGAAACAGTTTTGTACCTCATTATATAAACATTATAAAGGTAATATAACGTTTGCAAATTTATTTAACTCCTGGGATATTAATGTACTACGCTTGAAAGCTTTATTTGTATGTATATTATTTAAAATGAGATCGTCAAAGGTGTAGCACCCTGGACACGTGATCTAAAATATAATTCATCTAACAATTGTACGAGCTACGAAACAAACTTGATTGATTGACCACCAACGTGGATCAATGCCAGTTTTCAGGTGATGTGGCCTACAGATCATCCGTAAATTAGATGATGTAGTTGGGAACCAAGATATCTTAATTTAATCAGATTGTATGGTTTCAGAGTACGATCTAAAAATAAATCACTCATATTACAAATTGATAACTGGTTCCGCATCTAAAAGTGTTCATATTGTGACAGTCAAGACAAGACAATATAAAACAGTTCAGTCATAGTGTGATTCGACCACCCACAGAATTTCTTAGACAAACATGCTCAGAACGTCCCAACCTGCAGCAAAACACACCCAGATGGCCATACGTTAATGGTGGTTAAATTATACACGAACGAAAACTTGATCACTATGTGAACTGGTGGAGTAGGTTTGCAGCTTCTGCTTTGTAACAAGAGTTACTTATTTTACGACCGCTTCAATTAATGCAAAGACAAGGGCGGGTAACTCTAAAAGTACATCGCCTTCAAGATGTCTGCGCCCAATGCTTCACAACAACATCAGAGGCAACAACAGGGGCAGCGGCCTCTGATGGTACGTATCTGGTTCCTCATTCCAAGACACAAAGATTACTTTTGTATTTAGGGTTAAATGACCGTGTCCTAATCGTTGTTTGTCATGCAATACATAACCGAAATAACGACAGACCAAATCAGATGACAATTTAATGAATTCTCGTACGTTGCCTCATGTCATTGCCTCTGGTTTAAAGGACAATTGTATTAACCATTTGTCCAGGGCAATGTCGATCATTAATTTATATTTAAGAATTGAACTGTCATGAAATAAACACTTAGGAGTGATGAGGCTCCAGTGATGAAAGTTTTGACGATATTGCATGGTAGTATTCACAGGTCACTTTATGTTTTCCCACATGTTTTTTCAGGGTATTGGTATATGTTGCCATGTCTATTTGCTACCATTACTAGCGATGCTCTTTTGATGAAATGTAATCACTTAAGTGTTTAACGACGCCCTCAGCAATATTCTACTTCTAGCTATTGCCCTGGCAAAATGTATTCAGATACACGGTATGAAACGATCTGGGCCCACTTGCACAAAGCGATCTTAGCGCTACGACTATTGTAAGCCTATGTTAAGTATGGTCATGTATACACTGAAGTTGACATAAGTTTTATCATTATTCAAACATATACAAGTCAGAGGGAATGTGTGCATAGTCAGAAATAAATGTGAACATTAGTGACTTGTGTAATCACAGAGTTTTAGATAATTTTTATGATTAAACAATTTATCACGTGGCTAACCTTGGGTCGGGGTAGTCCTGTGCGTACCCAGGTCCTACTCAGTACCCACCCAACCCGAGTTACCTGTCCCAGCCCTAATGTTAATGTTTCCCAAGAGATGAATTGGTGATTTCGAACACGTACAATGGTAGTGAAGAATATAATTAGGATGATCCCCTTCTTGGACGCATGGATTACAAGTGATTGCAAAACACAGATTGGTTCGTTTGTTCAGTGTATTTTCTCCCAAAACCCTTTATTACGATGAAGTATTGAAATAGCACTACAAAGATGAAGCGACATGTCATAGACTCTGAATCTGTGTCCATTGCTAACATGTTACATTACACTAAACACAAGTCTGAGTCTTTTATGATACCTAGACTGACTGTCGGCATACATTGTAAGGGTAAAGCTATTGTCAGGGCATTATCATTTGCAGAAGCCTGAGGTCTTCAATTAACTGCCCGACGAAGGAGATAAAATAGAAAGTAAAATATAACCAGATTGACCTCTTGTATTACAGCGCCATACCTTAACAAAGGAAGAACAAGAGGTGATCAATGAATGCAACAAAGAAAGTTTCTATTATCGATGTAAGTATTCACCATTAAAGAGAGCTTCTTGACAACAAAATACAATAATGAAAATATATTTCTTGATGTGATAGTAATTATAAACATCTAGCAAAAGATATGAATGACTGTACCTTCAAAAGAATTACATCTGATCAAGTTGATGTCAAAAATGGTTTGTTGAATGCATTTACAGGTGTCTTCTTTTTCCCACCCTTGAACTCCTGTTTAATCTTGTTAATCAGTGTAATCTAAGGCTAAAAAAATAAGAGTCTTGGTTCTCAGTCATCAAATTCATTTTTATTTCCATTTAAAAAAAAATATAATTAATCATTCCGAGTCCAAGGGTAGTCAAAAACTGTATTCCAGTATTTAACTCATCAAAGAATACTTTTATGTAGGCCCTTCACAGGTTGAGTGTACACAACTGTTTATTTGGTTACATACAAGTTTGAACAACAACAAAAAGACACCGCCAACCTGCACTATATTTTCAAAAGCCATTGCCTGAGAACCAATTCTTTTATATTTTTTTAAGGGTAAATAAAACATGTGGCTTCTTACTCTTACAACTTCCTCCATTGCCACTTTACCCTGTGTGGAAGACACAAGAATGCTTTGAAACTTTGAAGCCTCAATCCAGTAATTACAGTCAGGATCTTCCATCACTAACAATAAACTTCGTAAGATATTTGCCACATTTGCATCACTGTCATTAAAGAAATAAACTTGTATGGAATATTTGCCCATGTTTCAATTAATGTGCTTTTCCCAATGTACATGTCAGTAATTCTAATTAAATAAATTTGATATGGATGTTAACTTTTTTTCCTCCTAACTATTTGCAATATTACTGTTAATTGAAATAATGACATGTTTTCCTTTCTGTATCCCACAAGGCCTGCCTCTCAGCCTGAGTCTGATGGCCGGCGTTCAGCTTCTTGTTAACAGGGGTATGTATGTATGTTAGTCCGACTCTCACAATAAATACTTGTTGTGAGGTCACTCTATTCATCTAACGGGGGCACAGGTGGCCCAGTCGTCTAAGGTGCCGCGATTCGCTGTGCAGAGTTGCGTCCCTTGGGCACGCCAGAAACCTATGATTGTGGGTTCGAATCCTGGTTCGCCCCGATTATGTTTCTAGGTTTTTCAGCACCATACCCGTGCTCGTGGGTTTCACTGAAGTGGTAAATGTTTGAGACCTGCATCACTTCGGGCTTTCCTCCCACATTAAGCTGACACAAAGCGGCGTTAAACCAAACTCACTCACTCACTCACTCACTCACTATTCATCTAACCATGTTTTACTGCAGTCGTATAGCTGAAACCACCTATCAATATGAACTATTCCATTGTCATCGTGCACCTCGAGTGATCTGTTCACCTTTTGCCTCAAGTTTTGTACCCATAACATTTCGAACCACCTGTTTCATTTCATCACATGTAGAGTTGGTTGTGTTTTCGTTGTAACTCCTTGTTAGCATTGAAATATTTATGTCAAAGAAAGACCTCAAAAGAGTGTAATCATGAAATTATACACTCCGCCATCACACATAATCGGTGTTCATTTCTGTTTTAGTCGGGGAATGTTATGTTTCACCATTCTGTCTTTTTGTACTTTCTTCTGACCATGGTTTGCTGAATGACCCGTTTGGTTTTGAGAGATCGATGTTGTTCATTGGCGCTCCGGCGCTCTTCTACCTTTGTGTATTATATGTTATGATTACATGCTTTTTTGTTCTGTTTTCATCACCTAATGCACAGTACATAAAACGGGTCGGGATCGGGTGGTCAAGGCTCGCTGACTTGGTTGAAGCATGTCATCAATCCCAATTGCATGGATCAATACTCATGATATCAATCACTGGATTGGGGGCCCAGTCGTCTAAATCGCCGTGATTCGGCGTCCCTTGGGCACGCCAGTAACCTATGATTGTGGGGTTCAAATTCCAGTTCGCCCCGATTATGTTTCTATGTTTGTCAGCACCACGCTTGTGCTCGTGGGTTTCACCGAAGTGGTAAACGTCTGAGACCTGCATCACTTCGGGCTTTCCTCCCACATTAAGCTGACACGCTGCGATATAACTGAAATACTGTTAAAAGCGGCGTTAAACCAAACTCACTCAATCACTGGATTGTCTGGTCCAGATTTGAATAAGTATTATTGAAATATTGCTGAGTGTGGCGTTAAACAACAAACCAACCGACCAACCACAATACTTCAACATGATATAGACAGTCAAGAATTTCAATCAGAAATAAATATGGATTATCTCCCTTTGGTGGCAAGATGCTAAATGTATGAACACAATACTTGTGCAAGCTTCATAGATGGATGCCTCCATGGTCTAATAGATTTAGCTTCTGCCCAGAGAGAGGAAGGTCTGTCGTTAGATTCCAGGCTGCATCATACCAAAAGACATTAAAAAGATGGTACTTATAAAACAAGGACTGGTCAGCTCAGATTCTGAGTGGGGTATCCGTGTTAAACTGTGGCATGGTATCTCAGTGGGCTAGCACTATTAAACCAGCATTAGTCTGGACTAGTACAAGCAGCCACAGACACATGTGCATGCACATCGCTATGGAAGTCGAATGAAACTGAACACTGCATTAAACCCAATTTCATCACTTCACACGTTTGTATACACTGTGTTCCTCCATCACTGGACCCATGAAGATTCCGGGGTAGAATAGGTCTTCAACAACCCATGCTTGCCGTAAAAGGCGACTATGCTTGTCGTAAAAGGCGACTAACGGGATCGTGTGGTCAGGCTCTCTGACTTATTTGATGCATGTCATCGGTCCCAATTTGCGTGGATCGATGCTCATGATATCAATCACTGGATTGTCTGGTCCTGATTCGATAACTTACAGACTGCCATCATATAGCTGGAATATTGCTGAGTGCGGCATTAAACAACAAATATAGTACTGTGTAGTTTTCTATCAGGAATAAATGTGCAAAATATTTCTTCAATTGGCCCTTGTTTAATGAGGCACTGACTGTTTGAAATCACCCACCCTCTTTAGAGCGCCTTATGCTAAAATTAATCCAGCAGGCAGGGGTAAGAAGTGTGAAAATAATTCAGCAGGCTAAAGGTTAAACAACAAACCAACCAACCAACCTTCATCACTGTAAATCGACCGCAATGCTTTGTAGTAGTCACACATGTCTGGTTTAAGGAAGCAAATGAAATGAGGTCGTGAATAACTCATGGGTATTCTAGCATCATCTTGTTATTATTTTGAGTTTATGAACAAAAGAAGATCGATCAGGGTGAATGAGGGCATGGACATTGTGGGTTTTTTTCAAGCAAATGTCTGTACACTTTCTACCATATCCTTTAAGATCTTGCACTCTGACTTGATGCCTCTCTCTGTCAATATTTGATATCATGTTGACATCAAGCAAAGTAGTTAATCAAATTATTGAACTGATTTTTATATTTTGAAATGGCAAGTGTTGAAAGAAACATTTGAGTTTACACCTTCCTGTATTGGGTCAGTAAGATCTACACCTGTTGCAGCATGGAGGCAAGTGCCCTGAATTGTCACATCATGTAGTGGTATATAGGACATCTTCTGTTGTGGGAAAGTTAGGGTTGTGTCACATTTGTTGTGTGTGTATTAACACCATATATTCTTCTTCTCGTCCAGGGGCGGTGGGGTAGCCTTGTGGTTAAAGTGTTGGCTCGTCACGCCGGAGACCCGGGTTCGATTCCCCACATGGGTTAAATGTGTGAAGCATCTTTTCTGGTGTCCGACTGCCGTGATATTGCTCGAAAATTGCTGATAGCATCGTAAAAACATACTCACTCACTCACTGTTCTTGTCCTTTGTTTCAGGTGTTTTAGGACGTTCTCCATCATATGGAGTTTATCCCAAACATATTGGTGAGTAGAAAACAACCGAATACTACATGCTCGTAATTTATGTACTTTGTGATAATAGCATCAGCATGTATGTTCAAGATATCATTGGTGAAGACAATAATTTCTAAAAGTTGTGAACCAACACAGTTGGTGCTAAAATGTTTGGTTTTACCTGCCCCAAATCGTTACTTGTTGCCATTTACAGTTTTTAATGTACAGATTTGGCTATGCTTACTTGACTGAAAGAAATTTTACTTGGCCCGAATTGCAGACAAATAGTTTACATCACAGACTGCTGAATGAAGAGTGAGCGTGAACAGACTGACAGAAGCCAGAAGTATACTTTTGTGTTTATATATGTATTTTCCTGCCCGATAGTCCAAGACAGCCTGTATTGCTGATGGATGTTTTAAAAGTTGCACCCCCGATGGTCGAGTTACAGTTACTAAGATAACAATCCAGCACTTTATTTTGTGAGAACTATTCTTGTCTTTACCTTTTTGCCACCGTTTTTCGTTAGTCTAGAATTTTATCTGGTCTGGTAACTTTGCCAGTCCGGTTGTCTGACTGGAATGTTTGGGAATTCTGTACACTGTCTATCAGCTACATTTATGGTTTACTAAACTTGGACTTTGGGCTAGTTGCTGACATTCAGACTGCCAAGTGAAGTGCTATGAACAGTGTTTCAGTCATATTAGAGCGTGTCAGCTTCGTGTGGGAGGAAAGCCCAAAGTGATTCAGACGTTTTCTATTTCACTAGAAACCCACGAGCACTGGTATAGTGGTGACAAACCAAGGATCATTATTAGAAATAATCTAGGAATCAAATGCATGATTATAGAATCCTTGCACACTTAAGGGACATAACTGCACAATGTGTTCCGAGGAAATGAAGAAACAAACAGAAGTGTAATGTCGAACTGTGTTATGTTGACGTAGGGGGCTGTCTTGTGAAAACAAATAACAGGATTCACACTCACAGAAATAGGATCCTTGCTCGCCTAAGGGATCCAACTCTGCACATTGTAATGTTGATGATCTGTGTTTCTGTTGATGAAGGTGCCTGTATCTTGGGCTTCATTGTGGGCAAGATGTCTTACTTTGAGACATGTAAGAAGAAAATAATTGCTAAGATTCCTAACAGTCACATGGGCTTGGCTGCAAGAGGACTACTAAAACCTGAAGATGAAATGTGAGTACAAGAAGAATCATGTATCAGTGATGGGACAACCGTATCCCTCACTACTTCCTTACTCAAATCGGATCTTGCACTTTGATGTTTGTTTGTTGTTTAACACCACACTCGGCAACTATATGATGGCAGTCTGTAAATAATCGAATCTGGACCAGACAATCCAGTGATTGATATCATGAGCATCGATCCACGCAATTGGGATACGAGGACATGCATCAACCAAGTCAGTGACCACCTGATCCCGTTGATAGCCTCTTACGACAAGCATAGTCATACTTGGATTTTGTACTTGGGTGACAGAATTAGGATTCGAAGTAAGAGAGGGAGCCTTTTATATTTTGATGGTGGGGCTGAGATTATTTGAAGAAAAACGAAATGTACACGAAAATGCTGGAAAAACTATTTGCCCTCTAGTTTTACCCATCTTCCCAAGGCAAGGGCTTTAACTGACTATATAAGTCCAGTTTTCACCCTTGCCAAACTAGGCTGGAATTTCCAGGCTTGATCATAGTGACACCACTAGTGGCTATTATGAATTATGTCCCTTCCCTGACCCTCCTACTGACCAATCGGATTCCACTTCTCGTATCACTTGCATTTGCTTCAAACAAAATGGCAGCGCTCAGTCAGGATGATCTGATCGATAATCAAGATCTATATTGTAATAAGACGGGTCTTACTATAGACTTGTTAGTCCAGCCAAACTGTAACTCCAGAATTCCAGCCTAGTTCGGAAAGGGTGGAAACTGGACTTTTATTGTCAGTTATCTCCCTTGCCCCAGGAAGATGGTTTTACTGAACAATGTAAATTTTTTATAATGGATGTCCTGAAAAAAAATAAGAGTTCCCCCAGACTTGTTTGGTGCTTTACAGGAAAAATGTTGCATTTCTTGCAGCGCGTACTGAAAAAATAAAATGTCTCAAACTAAAATCCTGAAATGAACGATGCTCTTATAATAATCTGATCATTGGTTTCCACAAAGTGGCAAATGTCAACAACCAGCTTCATGTTGAGAATGCTCTGCTGATATTAACTGCTGTTTACCTGTTAAAGGGTTCTACCTCAAACTGACTCTTACTCCACTTCAGGAATCTTTATCAGGCAGCATCACCTGTGGAAGGGGGACAACTCTCTGATCTACCAAAGGATGAGATGCGCAGCACAGATTTTGACACCGATAAGACACCAGCGCAGACACCTAAGGGGCTAGACATCAATGATAGACCCAGCTTAGATCAGGAAGGTACGTCTGGGATGGTTGGGAGGCTATTGTTGCAAAGAAAATACTGGAAATTGCTTTTGAGGAAACTCTTTTGATAAGATATGTGTATTAGACACTCGCTATCACATATAAGACTATCTCCTATTCAGTTTATAATTGATTCTCAAGTCGTGCCATGGTTAGACATGAAGTTTACGACCTCAGGAAGCTACAGCAGTACACCGACAGGTGTGTCTGAAACCTGGGATCATAGATTCTGTTACCACATTCGCCCAGGTTGTGTTTCAAGGTTTGCCAGAACCATGCCCATGCTTGTGGGTTTTATCCCTGTGGGCAAAAACTTATCACCCACATCACTTGAGTTTCCTCCCACATTCAGCTGACATTGCCATGTTAACCTCACCTCACCTCACCTCACCTCACCTCACCTCACCTCACCTCACCTCACCTCACCTACTCACATTCACTCACTCACTCATTCATTCACCTCATGCATTCACCTCAAACATTCACCTCACTCACTCACTCATTCATTCACCTCACGCATTCACCTCAAACATTGACCTCACTCACTCATTCACCTCACGCATTCCCCTCACTCACTCACTCACTCACTCACTCACTCACTCACTCACTCACTTACTCCCTGTGTTCCAGGTTTTCCATTACTAGCTCAGGACAAGGCTGCACCCAGCTTCAAGTCATATGACGACCTCAGGAACCAAAACCGCATGGACTTCGAGCGGAAGATGGCGTCCAGTGACAGCCCCTTGAACCAGCCTCCATGGCCAGCACCAGCACCACCATCTTCTCAAGGGAGACCATTCACAAGGCCTACCCCACGACAAGAAACAAGTAGGTTTCCTGGCAGTGAAATCATACCTCGCACAGGACATTCTTGATATCAAGTGTGCCTTTTTAGAATAGAAATCACACTCAACACACTCAAATTTTCCTGTGGCACTGGGTAACACAACAGAGTATATCACTGCAAGAATAATTATTGGAAATGTATTTTTGTTATTTAGGCCAATCCCGTTAAAGAACAAGGTCATGTGACAGCATGTTCTTGTAGAGCTTTGAACCCTGGGTACAACATAGCAGTGTTTGAAATTAATATGTCTGCTTGTTATTTTCATGTATACATATATAGTGGAACAGCCTTAATGTTGTTTACAGTATATGCTAAAATACAAAGGGCAAAAGATTTGTATGAATGTTTAGAAGGAATGATGCTATTTTGTAATTTGGTACCACTAAAAATTGATATTCAAAAATACCAAGCACATTAGAATGCTTCACAATCTTCTAGCACTACATCGCTGTGCAGAGTTGCGTCCCTTGGGCACGCCAGAAACCTACGATAGTGGGTTCGAATCCCGGTTCGCCCCGATTATGTTTCTTGGTTTGTCAGCACCATACCCATGCTCGTGGGTTTCACCGAAGTGGTAAACGTCTGAGACCTGCATCACTTCGGGCTTTCCTCCCACATTAAGCTGACACGCCGTGATATAACTGGAATACTGTTAAAAGCGGCGTTAAACCCAACTCACTCACTCACTCACTCTAGCACTACATTTCTGTTAGGGGGCGGTGGTGTAGCCTAGTGGTTATAGTGTTTGCTCATCACGCTGAAGACCTGGGTTCCATTCCCTATATGGGTATATTGCCCATTTCTGGTGTCCCCTGTTGTGATATTGCTGAGTATTGCTAAAAGCGACTTAAAGCCATACTCACTCACTCACTCACTCACACATTTCTGTTGTGGATCTCCATATCTATTTTAGCATGTTGTGTCCCCTGGACCCTGATATACAATTCTATACTACTCAACATTTGATAAGGATATTCCAGATAGAGTGGCCAGATAGGGGATAAATCTGACTGGCTGTTGGGAGTTATTTGCGTTCAAAAGGGATGTGATTTGGGCATGGAACTGATGCATGTTATGCTTCATTTCATAATAAACCAACGTAAACATTTATGTACATTGTTGTCTGCTGTTGATAAATCCCCCACCTGGACATTCAGTGTGTCCCTGTCAAATGTTGAGTAGTATACAGGAAATTTAAACCAGCAGTCTGTATTTCACCTCATGCATCTTCCTGAGGCAAGAGAGTTAACTGACTATATACTCCAGTTTCCACCCTTGCCAAACTAGGTTGGAATTTCTGGGCTCGATCGTAACGCCCCCAGTGGCTATTATGAGTTATGTCCCTTCTATGTCCCTTCTATGTCCCTCCTACTGAGCAAGCAGATTCCACCTCTGATATCACGTGCATTTGCTTCAAGCAAAATGGTAACGCCAAGGTCAAGACAATCAGACCGATAATCAAGATCTATATCATAATAAAATGGGTCTTACCTCACGAAGGGCATCAAATTGCGTCAGCACTTTGATTATAACATTAAAATATTTGTTGATATAAATGCTTTGCAAACCCTGCAATCAACTGAAATGTGCACAGCAGTTTATGAACAGGAAGGCGATTTTGTTTCGTGATTTTGATTGGACTATGTATAGACTCTAAGTCCAGCCAAACTATAACTCCATAATTCCAGCCTTGAAACTGGACTTTTATGGTCAGTTATCTCCCTTGCCTCGGGAAGATGCACCTCATGATGCTTATAAAACTTTAATCTCTCTGTTCCAGGCAAACCCAAGAACAAATATGGAGATGAGTGGGAAGAATAGATGCTAGTTACCTCCCTTTGGCAATGGAGCATGTGAAGTGACACCACCATTAACTCGACCGTTCTTCTCATGTTTGTACAACATATAATATTTCTCAGTCCTAAACATTGCTAAAGATTAAAGTAAAAAATCTAAATAAACTCAATCATTATCAATAACAAATATGTTATCAAATCAAAGTAACATACATCGAGCTTAGGAAATGAATTACCAATAGGTTAAGTTAAAGCGTGGTTGTTATTGAAGATTTGTCCTTGCACTTTGTTTGGCAATAAGACAGATATAATCCTGTTAGGTGTATATATGTATGGTTATAGGACTGTGCAGTGTCCTAAATTTCTCTTGTAGATTATCCAGGATTGTGACAATGGATTAAGAACACTATTTTGCTTGTGGGAATATTTTGCTTGTGGGAATGGAAAACGTAGTTGATTGACTTGTGTATATAAACTGTGTGTATGAAAAGGGAAATACAGTGTTTTTTCTAAAGTGGTGTTATAATTCCATGCTTCATGGTAGACAGCTCTCTGCTGTTTAACTGACCATAGTGAGATGTCATGCTTCATGGTAGACAGCTCTCTGCTGTTTAACTGACCATAGTGAGATGGCATGCTTCGTGGTAGACAGCTCTCTGCTGTTTAACTGACCATAGTGAGATGGCATGCTTCATGGTAGACAGCTCTCTGCTGTTTAACTGACCATAGTGAGATGGCATGCTTCATGGTAGACAGCTCTCTGCTGTTTAACTGACCATAGTGAGATGGCATGCTTCATGGTAGACAGCTCTCTGCTGTTTAACTGACCATAGTGAGATGTCATGCTTCGTGGTAGACAGCTCTGTGCTGTTTAACTGACCATAGTGAGATGGCATGCTTCGTGGTAGACAGCTCTCTGTGCTGTTTAACTGACCATAGTGAGATGGCATGGTTCATGGTAGACAGCTCTCTGTGCTGTTTAACTGACCATAGTGAGATGTCATGCTTCATGGTAGACAGCTCTCTGCTGTTTAACTGACCATAGTGAGATGGCATGCTTCATGGTAGACAGCTCTCTGCTGTTTAACTGACCATAGTGAGATGGCATGCTTCATGGTAGACAGCTCTCTGCTGTTTAACTGACCATAGTGAGATGGCATGCTTCATGGTAGACAGCTCTCTGCTGTTTAACTGACCATAGTGAGATGGCATGCTTCATGGTAGACAGCTCTCTGCTGTTTAACTGACCATAGTGAGATGGCATGCTTCATGGTAGACAGCTCTCTGCTGTTTAACTGACCATAGTGAGATGGCATGCTTCATGGTAGACAGCTCTCTGCTGTTTAACTGACCATAGTGAGATGGCATGCTTCATGGTAGACAGCTCTCTGCTGTTTAACTGACCATAGTGAGATGGCATGCTTCATGGTAGACAGCTCTCTGCTGTTTAACTGACCATAGTGAGATGACATGCTTCATGGTAGACAGCTCTCTGCTGTTTAACTGACCATAGTGAGATGGCATGCTTCATGGTAGACAGCTCTCTGCTGTTTAACTGACCATAGTGAGATGGCATGCTTCATGGTAGACAGCTCTCTGCTGTTTAACTGACCATAGTGAGATGGCATGGTTCATGGTAGACAGCTCTCTGTGCTGTTTAACTGACCATAGTGAGATGGCATGCTTCATGGTAGACAGCTCTCTGCTGTTTAACTGACCATAGTGAGATGGCATGGTTCATGGTAGACAGCTCTCTGCTGTTTAACTGACCATAGTGAGATGGCATGCTTCGTGGTAGACAGCTCTGTGCTGTTTAACTGACCATAGTGAGATGGCATGCTTCATGGTAGACAGCTCTCTGTGCTGTTTAACTGACCATAGTGAGATGGCATGCTTCATGGTAGACAGCTCTCTGTGCTGTTTAACTGACCATAGTGAGATGGCATGCTTCATGGTAGACAGCTCTCTGCTGTTTAACTGACCATAGTGAGATGGCATGCTTCATGGTAGACAGCTCTCTGCTGTTTAACTGACCATAGTGAGATGTCATGCTTCGTGGTAGACAGCTCTCTGCTGTTTAACTGACCATAGTGAGATGGCATGGTTCATGGATCATGGGAGGAAGTGTTATTCAGCATCCCTCTGTAACAGGGGCTTCTTGGGGCAAACCATGCATAATTCTAAGAGTGGTGGCCTGGGATGTTTGAATGAGACATAATATTTTTCCACTTTGCGCTTAAAGAAATACAATCATTTCTCTGAAATGAGGGAACAAACAATTGTTTCTTACCCACAACAAATACATCCAGAGTGATCGAGTTATTAATTTTTTTTGGTAAAATTATATATAATACAGATTATTTTTTTCAAAATAAATGTATTTATGTTTATCGCTGCACTCAGCAATATCCCAGTTATATCACAGCAGTCTGTAAATAATCCTGTGATTAACAATAAGAGCAACGATCCACACAATTGGGATACAATGACATGCCATCAGCCAAGTCACCGAGTCTGACCATTTGATCCATTCAGTCACCCATTACAACATGCTTAGGGTCCTGGGGACCTATATACTCTCCATGGACTACCCCGGGGTTGGGAGCACAAGAATGGTGCTGACGAACCAAGAACAAATCAGAGTAAATTGGGATTCAAACACACAATCATAGGTTTCTGGCAGGCCTAAACTCTGCACAGTGAATTGCCTCACCTTAGAGGACTGGGCCTACCCTGCCCCCTTATCTATTGGGAAAAGCATTTTTGAGTTTTTGAAAAAAAAAACCATGGTTAGAATAGGTCTTCAGCAACACATGCTTGCCATAAAAGGCGACTATGCTTGTCGTAAGAGGCGATTAATGGGGTCGTGTGGTCAGGCTCCCTGACTTGGTTGATGCATGTCATTGTGTCCAAATTATGTGTATCGATGCTCATGTCAATCACTGGATTGTCTGGTCCAGGCACGATTATTTACAGACAATCGTCATATAGCTGGAATATTGCTGAGTGCGGCGTAAAACAACAAGCAAACATTATGGATCAAAATGATTGGTTTAACCAATGTCTTTCTCTACCCTCATGGTTAAATTTCCCTGCAGTGTTTTATTGTACGATAAACATCTCCCACTCGGGGTTTATTTCTTATATGAGATATCAATATTATGTAAAGCTTCTGTAAGGGCGTTCATAAAATGTACAAGCTTTAAGATTATTTACCCTATTTAAATAATGGTGACTCCATGAATAGAATCCGACTTCGGCAATGTTGGACAAGTCTATTTTAGGAACAGGGGGATTAGATTTGGTCTTTCCTGCATATTCTCACGATTTTCACGTTGATTATCTGTACCCTTCCTCCCAATACCGATTGTCATATCTCTTCCACTTTGGGTGAAATCGTTCGACCATTGCGATTATCTACGTTGCCCAGTTACATCTATGGGGGAATTCTGCCCAGACACTTCCCTCTCAAAGATAACGTCGTCCAATTTACGACTCATCAAGTAGCGAGCTCATCTTCGAATCTCCAGAAATGACGTCATGATAGAACAATGTTTTATCGTGAAAGAAACCACTCTTCGCTATTCATTGCTCTTGGCGATTTATCACGTAGCTATCTTATATATATATACATTTTACATTCCTTGGGCAATAATGAAACATGATTAGTGTACATATAAGTATGAATATATAAATATACTTATCAATCTCCAGTGACGTCATCCTAATGTTCTCCAGTCGTGTTAAATCTCATAAACAGGGATGTTACAATTTTCCAGGGATTTTATTAATACAACTTACGTGCAAATTGTAACATATGAATGTTTCTCGCTAGAAATTTTAAATGTAAAACCAAAAGACAAATGTTTTCTTCATATTTCTAAGGATCGAACACACAACTTTCGTTATTGCAGATAAACCATCATATTTTGATATCTATCTCTGTATATATAATTTGATATTTCACTTACTTTTATCGTAACCTTTTGCAAATTAACACGATTTGTCTTACAAATATGTGATAAATCATGTGTAAAGAAGATATTGAATCGCTGAAAAGTGAAATGAAAATACAGAAAACTATTTCCACCGCGGTGATAATATTTACACCGCGGTGGGAATATTATCACCGCGGTGGAAATAGTTTTCTGTGGTTTTTCGTTTTTAGTTTTTGACATTTTCGTTTTGGTTTTTGACATTTTCATTTTAGTTTTTGACCTTTTCGTTTTGGTTTTTGACATTTCCATTTTAGTTTTTGACATTTTTCGGTTCACATTTCAGCGACTCAATAGCTACTTGAAAGTACATTTTCCATGATTTCGGTTGTTTTTATACATGATTTATCACATATTTGTATGACAAATTGTGTTAATTTGCAAAAGGTAAATTACCATAAAAGTAAGTGAAACATCAAAATATTGAAAAACAGACTCTATGTCCCTTATGGGCCACCGTACATTACAGCGTACAGGCAGCTCATGCAATCTCAGTAGGCACAATTTCCTTCTATATTCCTCATCACTTACAGTCAATACATAACATTCAACATCCCAAAACGGTTTATGCATTTATAATACAACATATGAGATAACTTACTTAAAATATACTCTTCAAAAAAGAAACGCAATAAGGATATTTTGGGCCATAAAAGCAAAAAAAGCGGACCAAGAGGTGCTAATTGAAGAGGTTTAATGTGTAATAGTGTCAGTGACAAATTTCCTGGATCAAAATGATCACAACAATGACATGCAAATCATTAGTTGGGAAACACGTACGATTCGGAAAAAACGCACCCAGTGCATTAACAAAAGAGCCATGGAGCTGCACGTACTACACGTTCAGCAGCACTATGGGCATATGGAATACACATGTAGTTTACAGCAATATCATATACGTTTATATACTAAACCGCAAAAGAAACGTCACCCCAAGTAACATTGCATGAAAAGTTGTCATTTAAATATTTAGCTAATTTTTGTCAAAGTTTCTAAAATTTAACATTACCTTGTCCGGGAAAATGAAATTTGATGATAAAAAAACAAAGCAGATGAAAATAAAACCGATCGCCCAAACGCATCACGGCAACGGCCATGGTAACCCGATGCACGTGAGTTTCGTGCAAATTGAAATGTACATGCGTTCCCCCATTTCTTGCCCTATAAAAATCCACCAAGATCGGATAACATTCATTCGTTATTGAAATGCTACCACATGCAAAGATTGACAGGAAATCAGCGACACCAAGCCCTTGGACGATTGCAAAGCTGGACAAACCGCCCGGCAAGTAGACAATGCATTTCAAGTCCACGTTAGGACCATATACAGGATCTGGCAACGGTACCAGACCACCAACACTACAGATGACCGACCACGTAGTGGAAGACCAAGGGTCACCACCCGACGTCAGGATCGTCAGATTGTGCGACAGCATCTTCAAGATCGCTTTGTTACTGCTGCGGAAACTGCTCGACAGACCATGGGGACACACCAGCGACACATTAGTGCCGTCATTGACGAGCAGACACCTCCACTGTCACAGGCAACACCGAGGACCTATTCTGACACCGTCATCGCCGGGACCGTCTTCAGTTGGCAACACAGCACCAGCATTGGCGCAACCAGCAGTGGAGAAGAGTCCTCTTCTCAGATGAGAGCCATTACTGTATCTCAACAGCAGATGGCAGAGAGAGAGAGAGAGTCTGGCGACGCCGTGGGAAACGTTATTCGGATGCTTGTGTTGTTGAGAGAGACTCGTGGGGTGGTCCGAGCATCATGGTGTGGGGTGGAATTGGTCCTGCACAGAGGGTCGGTCCTGTGGTCTTCCAGAACATCGGTCCAGGGAGAGGCAATGGTCTCACAGCAGCTCGGTACATTGAGACCACACGCCATACCTCATTTGTCACGTCGCCGCAACCACGAGTTTCAGCATGATAACGCCCGTGCCCACAATGCGAGAGCAACAAGAGACTTCCTCCAGCAGAATGGCATCAGAACCATGCATTGGCCTGCCCTCAGTCCCGATTTAAATCCCATTGAGCACTTGTGGGACGAGATTCAAAGACGGTTGAATGACGTCCGACCAAGGCCGACAACTGCAGCTAATTTGCGTCAGGCGTTTCTCAGAGTGTGGGCTCAAGTGCCTGTAGCCTTCATCAACCGCCTCATTCATTCCATGTCATCAATGCAAATGGCGGACACACGAAATACTGACTTGTGATGGCATTTTCTCAGAGACTAGTGTACAGTTGTATTTCACTTTAAGAACATTTGACACTTTAATTTCAACCTTGATGATCAGTTTTGCCAAGTTTCATCTTTTTAATATCTCTCAAAGTATGTTGACAGTGTTTGGACAAATAAGGTCTTTCATATATCTATCCATCGTGACGTTTCTTTTGCGGTTCAGTATATAAAACTCAACATTAATACCGAATATGCTTTGTTGGAGCATATTCCACATTTAATACAAACTTACAGAAGTTAGAATGGAATTTGTACATCACTGGTAGAAGTCAAAGTCGTTAGGGAGATTGAATCCCCGGGTCGCTGTTGCTGACATGTCCACTAGCTTGTACAATTGGCCTTGAATGCCAATCCCAAACACTGAACCCCATCCGTGAAGATCCGGGGTAGCATAGGTCTTCAGCAGCCCATGCTTGCCCTAAGAGCCGACCATGTTTGTCGCAAGAAGCGCCTAACGGGATCGGGTGGTCAGGCTCCCTGACTTGGTTGGTGCATGTCATCGTATCCGAATTGCGTCGATCGATGCTCATGATGCAAAGCACTGGATTGTCTGATCCAGACTTGATTATTTACAGACCGCCGTCATATAGATGGATTATTGTTGAGTGCGGCGTTAAACAACAAACAAACACAACCCGACAACCAAATAATAATCACTGGTCTGTCTTATGCGTACTCGCGTGATTCACCATATAGTTAACGACAAATGACGTGGGTGGGTTCTACCTTTCTCCCAACATTTTGATGACACAATTTAAATAATGTACCAATGTGTGTGGCATAGCCACTTCTTTCAACTAGGGTTGAATGCCCAGTCGGAAATGGTATCGGAGTAGAAGAAGTAGTAGTAGTGGCAGTAGTAGTAGTGGTAGAAGAAGTAGTGGCAGTATTAGTAGTAGTAGTGGTGGCAGTAGTAGTAGTAGTAGTTGTGGCAGTAGTAGGATTAGTAGTAGTAGTATAGTAGTTGTAGTGGCAGTAGCAGTAGTAGTTGTGGCAGTAGTAGTAGTTGTGGCAGTAGCTGTAGTAGTTGTAGTAGTAGTAGTATAGCAGTTGTAGTGGCAGTAGTAGCAGTTGTAGTGGCAGTAGTAGCAGTTGTAGTGGCAGTAGTAGTAGTAGGATTAGTAGTTGTAGTAGTAGTAGTTGTAGTAGAAGTAGTAGTAGTAGTAGTAGTACTAGTAGTAGTACTAGTAGTAGTTGCAACAGCAGCAGAGAGCTTGGGTCTGTTAGCGCTCAGTGGGTGTCAGTGTTCGTTATGTAGAGTTGTGAGCTTGGACAAATGTCCGATGCCACTTCTTCCAAATGACATTGAACGCCCAGTGGCCAATGATATCGATAAAAGCGATATGAAACCACTTACTCACTCACTCTTCCAATGGGCTAAAAGGATGTTTTCATTCTAGTGACATCGATGCAAGTCAATGAAAATGGTTTCAGCTTGCGACTTGTTCTGAGATGTTTAGAATAATACCATCAGACTGTTGTATGACATCCGGGATATTGTCACGTGACCAACAGGGGATCGTTTTCCGTCGAATCTGTTTCCGTTTCTCTGTTTTCAGTATTCTGCAAAAAGAATAAAAAACAATTTCGTCTTTTTTTACTTTTTGTTCTTACCTTACCAACAACATGCTAGCTTAATTGTTTTCCCCCCGAAGTTCTACCACATACGTGAAAGCCGATATTAAGGCTAATACTGTTTACATCTGAGGAAACTACCAATAGGTTTTATCCGCTCCTAATCAAATATAGCATGCAATGTGTTGTCACTGACATGGCAGAGAATCTATTGACATGAACCGTAAACAAAGTCACGGCTTGTCCAAAGTGAACTGGTGATCACAATACAGAACGTAAAACATACTGTGCTGAAAGACGAATATTATCATATTAGTGCCTACGACAGAAAAAAACAACAAATCAATTATGCATATTCCCTATTATAATTTGTTTCGTAGCATTTGATCACGATATATGTTTCTGCTAATGCTCAAGAAGGTATAAGCCTCAAAGCTAAAACCACATGGAATCAATATATTAACAATAACAAAATCGGTCCACGGAGGATTCAAAACGGAAAGAAGAGGGGTCAACTGACGGTCTCAGTAATTTTGATATTGTATATCAGTCTTGTTGTTCATCAATTCTAAAAATCAATGCTTGACTCTAGTGATTGTTTTATAGTGAGTGAGAAAAAACGCAAAAGTGGGACTCTGCTACCGAAGCACTCACCGTGGGGAAAGGCTTAATGAGTGAGTGAGTGAGTTGTGTTTAACGCCGCTTTTAACAGTATCCAAGTTATATCACGGCGTGTCAGCTTAATGTGGTAGGAAAGCCCGACGTGGCACAGGTCTCGGACGTTTACCACTTCGGTGAAACCCACGAGCACAGGTATGGTGCTGACAAACCTACTATCATAAACGGGACGAACCGGGAATCGAACCCACGATCAGTTATCTGGAGTGTCCAAGGAACGCAATTCTGCACAGTAAATTGTGACGCCTTAGACGATACTCATTACAGTGTGTGGCCCAGATTGCAAATGTTGAGTGAATGAGTTGAGTTTCTAACAGCATCCATGTCATATCACGGCGTGCCTGCTTAATGTGTGAGGAAAGCCCGAAGTGATGCAGGTCTCGGACGTTTACCACGATATGGTGCTGACAAACCTCAAACATAAACCGCAGCGAAACGGGATTCGAACTCACAATCATAGGTTTCTTGTGTGCCCTACACAGCCAATTGCGGCCCCTTAGACGACTCGGCCACCTGTGCCTCCCGACTGCAAATGGTCGGCAGACCATGGAAATATATAGTCTCCCTTTAAGAACAACCTCGAGCTCGAAGTTTAGAGTTCCTCACCTTTTTCTGACGTTTCCGTCTACGCAGTGTATAGAAGACGGCGATGACGGCCACCACAGCCCCAACACACGGTAGCAGATAGTGGAGCACGGACACTGCCTGGACAACCTCGACCAACTCCGTCCGCAGCTGACCAGCCAGGTCATCTGTTATTACAGTGCTCTGGAAGCAAATCGAAAAAAATATTTGCAGGTCTGTTTATAATGAAACTTCGCTAACCCGAACACCATTGAGTCAATATACCCTCACGATGACACGCATCAACCAAGTCAGCGAGCCTGACCACCCTTTTACGACAAGCATAGTCGCCTTTTACGGCAAGCACGGGTTGCTGAAGACCTATTCTACCAAGGATCTTCACGGGTCAGATCCGTATGGACACGATTGTCCTGTATCGCTTGTCTCGAACTACGGATTGCTCGATATATTTGGCTATATGCCTTCGGGTTTATTCATGTTATCTTTTATCAGGAGACCATGTGATCTTTACGATGAGGGGACACGGGTGGCCCAATAGTCTAAGGCATCACAATTAACTGTGCAGAGTTGCGGCCCTTGGGCACGCCAGATACCCGTGAGTTCAAATCCCGGTTCGCCTGTTCGTCAGCACCATACCCATGCTTGTGGGTTTCACCAAAGTGGTAAACGTCTGACCTGCATCACTTCGGGCTTTCCTCCCACCATGAAGCTGACACGCCACGATATAACTTGAATACTGTTCAAAGTGGCGGTAAACCCAACTCACTCACTCACTCTTTACGATAAGAACAGCATTTCAGTTGCATGTAGATCACGGTGTAGCTGCTTCATGCCGAAGTGATGCAAGTCTGAGAAGTATAAGAATTTGATGACAACCAAATAGCGCAGAAATGGTGCTACCAAAGAACAAACTGACAAGTGAACCCACTGTCATAGGATCCTTACACGCCAAAGGGAAGCGACTCTGCCAGGGGACTGACGACCGGTCAAACGTGCCTCTCGCGACGTGAGAACAACATTTGACAACAATGGTGCAGTGTAAAGGAATAATGGGAAAAGATTGGTGGCTGAACAGTGTCGTTTAGGATGACAGAGTATTTTTGTATAACAACCCTACATTTATTTAGATAATCTAAGTATCCCGTACCTCATTAAACCACAGTATTGGGTGAAAGTACGTCCTCGTGTGCTTCAGCTGTCTGCAAAATAAAAGTAATGTTACCATTACTGACTTGTACGTGTGGTCGAAATCTCTTTTATGTATAAATACATGTATTAAGTTACTGCAGTAATAGTAGTGTGTTTGTTTGTGTGTTTGTTTGTTAGTTGTTTAACGCCGCACTCGGCAATATTCAAGCTATTTGACGGCGGTTTGTAAATAATCGAGTCTGGATTAGATAATCCAGTGATTGACACAATGAGCATCGATCCACGCAATTGGGATTCGGTGACATGCATTAACCAAGTCAGCGAAGTAGTAATTATGGTAGTAGTAGATTTGATAAATTTATTTATCCTCGTATTTACGGAGTAAAGTTGTAGAGTTTCGAAAGGCTGGTCGATTAAGGAAGTATGAAAAGTCAAAAGGAAAGGTCCTTGATATTCTCTCAACATACAAGTATCTGGGTGTTAATCTTGCTAGCTCAGGGTCAGAGACTTTTACAACAGCAGGCATGGGAAGTTGTGCTTATATTAAAATAGAGGTACAGCAAACTACGGTTATAACGAACACGCTTATAACGAACTGACGGATGTAACGCACTAACTTTTTAGTCCCGACTATTTGCTGTAGTTATGGTGTATATAAGCTTATAACGAACTACGGTTATAACGAACTAAAAATAGTAGTTCCCTTGAGTTCGTTATAACCGTAGTTTACTGTATCTTTCACTTTCATAAGTTTCCATTAAAGGTTGTGTTGATCTTCGACGTAAAGGTATTACCGCTCCTCTTGTACGGATCCGAGATCTGTGGTTTTCATTCTTCACCAGATATTGTGAATATTCATGATACATTCTATAAACTTGTTTTACACATTAGGCCGTCTGGTCCTAATATTGTGGCAAGGGGTGAATTGGGAAGATTTTCTCTGAAGGTTATCAGAATGTGAAAATAATTAAATATCGGTTACGTCTGTTGTCTCAAAATGATAATAATTGTTTAAAACATGTTTAATTATATCAGTATCGTCCTGCTGAGAAGGGGCGGTCGGGTAGCCTAGTGGTTAGAGCGTTCGATCGTCACGCCGAAGACCCGGGTTCGATTCTCGACATGGGTACAATGTGTGAAGCCCATTTCTGGTGTCCCCCGCCGTGATATTGCTGGAATATTGTTAAAAGCGGCGTTAAACCATACTCACTCACTCACTCCTGCTGAGAAAGGTTTGGATTGTTAGGCATATAGAGTTAACTATTGTTTGGCTATGGTTATGGTGATATTTGGCATTGTCAGAGTGTCGTATGTGATGAGATGTTTTTATCAGAATTAAATTTATTAAAATGTATAGATATAGACAATCAGTTGTATCAATAGTCGCCTTGTAGATATACTAGTTTGGATTCTTATTGATCACTTAAGATCAATACAGGGCTTGAAAGTTATTTATCGGTCGTTAATATTCCTTCGTTCAGACTAAGTGTGACACAGTTTCGATGTTCAGGTAATGATCTCATGATATCACAGGGCCGCCTCCGTGGTCTTGTGGTAGAGCGTCCGCCTGGAGAGCGGAAGGTCCGGGGTTCGATCCCCGGCCGCGTCATACCAAAAGACGTTAAAAGATGGTACTTGTTGTTACCCTGTCTGGCGCTCGGAATTAAGGGGCTAAAACAAGGACTGGTCGGCTCGGAGTCAGTATACTGTGTCTGAGTGGGGTATTCATGTTAAACTGCGGCATGGTATCTCAGTGAGCTAGCATTATAAATCGGCATCAGTACAAGCAGCCACACACACGTGCATGCACGTCGCTATATAAGTGCAATAATCTTGGACGCGACGTTAAACCCAATTTCAACTCACCTCACCTCATGATATCACAAGAAAGAAATTTACGTATTCCAAGATGTGACGATTATGTCTACTTTGTATAACCCCTGTTGGGGAATCCGAGTATTATGTTTGTCTTGCTTGCACATTTTATGATGATCTTAGGCAACACACTTTACCTAAATAGTATTGTCAGTATCCATCAGAAAGTAGATGGAAACAACTGTTTAGTTCTGTTCGTGACACAACTGTTAATGCCTTGGCGAAATGTATTTTCTAAGATGTAAAGAAAGAAAACTGATATCTAAAATCCCTGATGCTGTACTATAGTACACTGACGCTGTACCATAGTACTGTACGTGTGGCGAACGCCGTTTTGAAACCGTTTGTGCTTTCACTGTCAAAAGGGACCTATTTACTTAATAACGCATTCATGCATTCGTGTGGTAGAAGTAGTTGTTGTATAAGTAATAGTAGTAGTATGTGTGTATATGTGCGATGAGATACGAAATGATGATCATCTGAAAAAATAACAGTGATATCTTTTTTGAGTGAAATTACACTTAATTCTACCTTAAGTCTGTCCAAATGACGCTATGGTTTTAGTCACACAAGGAATTACAAATATCCTATTTGTATTAATTGTTAAATAAAATTGTATTTATAAAGAAATACTCATATTTTTTAAAAGATCAATCCCCACTCACCTTATACTGGAAAAATTCGAAACAAACACTCCTATCTGGAGTCTCATTGCGACCTCCATGGGTACTCCGGACGTCTAGACAATAGAAATGAAACAAACTTAAACATGAATACTAAGAAGACTGTCGAACCCCGTTGTCTCGAACTCCTGGGGACCAGAAACGAAGTTCGACACACCCGACTCGACCTTATTATTATGTATAGTGAAAACATCGGGGTTTGTCAGAATAGATGCGATTAAGGACTCAAACAGACCAGTACTATTTCCGTAATAATCTATGCAATTTACAAAGCAAACAGTTTTACATTTGTGTTATCCAGTATAAAACATACCGGTTCCAAATCCAGAAAAGATGCATGATGCTGTGGATCAGGATGGAGGCCGTTGACCCCGTTTATAACTTCCGGGTCACCGCCAAGAAAATGAGGATATGACATGATAGCTGATGATGCTGTGTGTAGATAGAAAATATTTCAACAAAATAAATAAAACAGAAAGAATATATCATCCAACTGGGGTACGAGAGGTCCAACCGTGTAAGGCGTCATGAAGAGTTTCGCTGATTAGGCTTGCAAGATCCTATAATCGTTGGTTCGCATCCCGGGTCGCCCCGATTGATTTGATTTGTCTGCACCATACATGTGATGGTCTCTGTTACCAAAGAGGCAAATATCCAAGACCTATGTCACTTTCCTTTCTCTCACATTAAGCTGACACTCCGTGCGTCGCTATTGGCTGAAATAGTGCCGATGCTACGTTAAATTTGAACTCACTGCCTGACTGACACGCCGTGTATATAAAAGGTGACAACGCCCTCTTCATAGTCATAAATCTCTACACAAAGCAGTTCATTGTACATGACTGAAACACTGAAGTGGCGTTAAAATATTGTGTGAACTAAATATTGTGTTTCGCTCTTACTGACGACGTATGTCTGTTTTCATCAAACCCTTACCCTCTCTACAGCCGCTAACGTTGAGCACCCCTGAGGGCATACAGTAGTCGGCGTTGGGGGTGCAGAAGCCCACGTTGTCGGGGTTGACGCTGCCGCTCTCCAACATGGAGGCGGGGAGGAGGTACCTGTAGGTATCGATATCCTTCACAATGTTCTCTCGATCAAAGTCCATGTACAATGTCCTGAAACAGTTCGAACCCATCATCGATTGTCTAGGGCATTATATCTCAGTTCATATGATAAAAACACACGAGAGATGACTTCAACTTTCCGACAGTCATCAAAATGTTTTATGTCATTTTTATGTGGATGACATTGCCAAATTAGACGCATCAATGACAAAATGATTTCTGGTGCATTTTTGCATTTTGACTTGGGCCATAATAGGTTCCTGTGGACTTTTGTCAGGCGCAGGCGCATTGACTTGCCTTTGCATGCGTTTGTCTCTGAGCAACAGGTAGGGCAGGGTAGGCTTACTTTTTCACTATGATATAGTCGGAATGTTCAAATGACTCTCGGAGATATATTATTATTATTATTATTATTATTATTATTATTATTATTATTATTATCATGTAAAGAGTTTTTGTAAATATATGCATATATATATGTGTATGTATCTAGGTTACATTAATAACACACATCTGATCCGTTCGTAAGTTTTGGTTTAAGATCACTTGAAACGTTACTAACATGTCGTGTAAGCTTATTGGGAGGAAATCCCAATGTGATTACGGAAAGGGTTTTGTGGCTTATATTTGAAAAATAGCGATAAATTAATTAAAAAAACATTTCCAAAAGATATCCCTAAGGTTGTTCGTCTTGTGGGAGTCATACTCCACCCCTATCCAATGTCCATACATCATTCCTAGCCAGCATCAATCGCCTTGTTCAGACGAGCATTCGTTTTATATTTCCAAATGGTTATTGTTTTACATGGCCTATGTCAGCGTTATAACGAGTCAGGAAGGTAACCACTGTAACACCCACCTGCATGCGTTAGGAGAGTAGAAAAAGAGAGGCTTGTGTTTGTCAAGGAAAGGCGGGAAGAAAGTACCGTCTGCGAAATAATGATAAACGTGATTATGATTTAACACCGTGTTTATAAATTCTCAATATTGCAGAAATATAACGACTGGGAACAGACAGAATTTGTCCCACGCAATATTACAGCAATATAACGACTGGGAACAGACAGAATAGGTCCAATGCAATATAACATCAATATAACGACTGGGGACAGACAGAATAAGTCCCACGCAATATTACAGCAATAAAACCGCTGGGAACAGACAGGATAGGTCCAATGCAATATTACAGCAATATAACGACTGGGAACCGGCAGAATAGGTCCCACGCGATATTACAGCAACATAACGACTGAGAACAGACAGAATAGATCCCACGCAATATTACAGCAACATAACGACTGGGAACAGACAGGATAGGTCCCACGCAATATTACAGCAATATAACGAGTGGGAACAGAAAGAATAGGTCCAATGCAATATTAAATCAATATAACGACTGGGAACAGACAGAATAGGTCCCACGCAATATTACAGCAATAAAACCGCTGGGAACAGACAGAATAGGTCCCACGCAATATTACAGTAATATAACCGCTGGGAACAGACAGAATAGGTCCCACGCAATATTACAGCAATATAACGACTGGGAACAGACAGAATAGGTCCCACGCAATATTACAGCAATATAACCGCTGGGAACAGACAGAATAGGTTCCACGCAATATTACATCAATATAACGACTGGGAACAGACAGGATAGGTCCCACGCAATATTACAGCAATATAATGACTGGGAACAGACAGAATAGGTCCCACGCAATATTAGAGCAATATAACGACTGGGAACAGACAGAATAGGTCCCACGCAATATTACAGCAATAAAACCGCTGGGAACAGACAGAATAGGTCCCACGCAATATTACAGTAATATACCCGCTGGGAACAGACAGAATAGGTCCCACGCAATATTACAGCAATATAACGACTGGGAACAGACAGAATAGGTCCCACGCAATATTACAGCAATATAACCGCTGGGAACAGACAGAAAAGGTTCCACGCAATATTACATCAATATAACGACTGGGAACAGACAGGATAGGTCCCACGCAATATTACAGCAATATAACGACTGGGAACAGACAGAATAGGTCCCACGCAATATTACAGCAACATAACGACTGGGAACAGACAGAATAGGTCCCACGCAATATTACAGCAATATAACCGCTGGGAACAGACAGAATAGGTCCCACGCAATATTACAGCAATATAACCGCTGGGAACAGACAGAATAGGTCCCACGCAATATTACAGCAATATAACGACTGGGAACAGACAGAATAGGTCCCACGCAATATTACAGCAATATAACGACTGGGAACAGACAGGATAGGTCCCACGTAATATGACAGCAATATAACGACTGGGAACAGACAGAATAGGTCCAATGCAATATTACAGCAATATAACGACTGGGAACAGACAGAATAGGTCCCACGCAATATTACAGCAATAAAACCGCTGGGAACAGACAGGATAGGTCCCACGCAATATTACAGCAATAAAACCGCTGGGAACAGACAGGATAGGTCCAATGCAATATTACATCAATATAACGACTGGGAACAGACAGAATAGGTCCAATGCAATATTACATCAATATAACGACTGGGGACAGACAGAATAGGTTCCACGCAATATTACAGCAATATAACCGCTGGGAACAGACAGAATAGGTCCCACGCGATATTACAGCATTATAACGACTGGGAACAGACAGAATAGGTCCAATGAAATATTACATCATTCTAACGACTGGGAACAGACAGAATAGGTCCCACGCAATATTACAGCAATATAATCGCTGGGAACAGACAGAATAGGTTCCACGCAATATTACAGCAATATAACGACTGGGAACAGACAGGATAGGTCCCACGCAATATTACAGCAATATTACCGCTTGGAACAGAAAGAATAGGTCCCACGCAATATTACAGCAATATAACGACTGGGAACAGACAGAATAGGTCCTGCGCGATATTAAAGCAATAAAACCGCTGGGAACAGACATGATAGGTCCCACGCAATATTACAGCAATATAACGACTGGGAACAGATGTGATAGGTCCAATGCAATATTACAGCAATATAACGACTGGGAACAGACAGGATAGGTCCCATGCAATATTACAGCAATATAACGACTGGGAACAGACAGAATAGGTCCCACGCAATATTACAGCAATATAACGACTTGGAACAGACAGAATAGGTCTCACGCGATATTACAGCAATATAACGACTGGGAACAGACAGAATAGGTCCCACGCAATATTACAGCAATATAACGACTGGGAACAGACAGAATAGGTTCCACGCAATATTACAGTAATATAACGACTGGGAACAGACAGAATAGGTCCCACGCGATATTACAGCAACATAACGACTAGGAACAGACAGAATAGGTCCCACGCAATATTACAGCAATATAAACGACTGGGAACAGACAGAATAGGTCCCACGCAATATTACAGCAACATAACGACTTGGAACAGACAGAATAGGTCCCACGCAATATTACAGCAATATAACGACTGGGAACAGACAGAATATGTCCCACGCAATATTACAGCAATATAACGACTGGGAACAGACAGAATAGGTCCCACGCAATATTACAGCAATATAACGACTGGGAACAGACAGAATAGGTCCTACGCAATATTACAGCAACATAACGACTTGGAACAGGCAGAATAGGTCCCACGCGATATTTCAGCAATGTACCATGCTGAGAACAGACAGAATAGGTCCCACGCGATATTACAGCAATATACCCGCTGGGAACAGACAGAATAGGTCCCATGCAATATTACAGCAATACAAGGACTGGAAACAGACAGAATAGGTCCTACGCAATATGTCCATGTGGGGAAAACCTTTACTGCGACGATCGAACGCTAACCCAAATGCCACATGTAAACACAGCAACATAGACGCTGCTTTATTTATGGTAGGACACGCAACGCGATATTTACATTGAATGAGTGAGTGACTTGGCTTTACGCCGCTTTGAACAGTAGTTCACTTATATCACGAACAAGAAGGAAAGCCCAATGGGATGCAGGTCCTAGACGTTTACCATTTTGGTGAAATCCACGAGCATGGGCATGGTGTTGGCAAAACAATATCATGGCGAACCGGGGTTCGAACCCCACGATCGTAGATTCTGGCAACACATCTTATGCCACACTTACCCGTTCCATTTAACATCCGGGCGTATGGTGTGCTCCAGAAAGGCGCATTCCTGCAACAAAATCATTCAGGTACAGGTGCACTGATAATGAGCAATTATTGTTTAACACCGATTCAGCTGTTCATGAAGATATTGATAAATACTATTTCAATAAAATAGAATACATCAGGTTCAACTGGACTGATAGTTGATTTTTGAATGACTTTTACCTGAGAATCACTTGAAGGAGTGCGTTGCCTCTTATGTTAAATACCTCACAATGGTTAGCCATCGTTACCTCAATTAGAAGCAGTGTGCGATATAGCTGCCTGCCCGCTAGCCAAATAACAGTGACTTTCACACTGGGCTAGTAACATTTCCGTAAAGATGGCACGACTGTTTAGTTGAAAATTCTAATCTATACAATTATATTTCTACTAATCATCAAGTCAGTTAAGCCATCATTTAATGTCAAAGTCAGTTGTCATTTTGTTTTCATTATGTATATAGTATGTCGTAAACCCACGCGGAGTAGTTGTATTTGCGGGGGCACGGGTGGCCCAGTCGTCTAAGGCGCCGCGATTCGCTGTGCAGAGTTGCGTCCCTTAGGCACGCCAGAAACCTATGATTGTGGGTTCGAATCCCGGTTCGCCCCGATTATGTTTCTAGGTTTGTCAGCACCATACCCGTGCTCGTGGGTTTCACCGAAGTGGTAAACGTCTGAGACCTGCATCACTTCGGGCTTTCCTCCCACATTAAGCTGACACGCTGTGATATAACTGGAATACTGTTAAAAGCGGCGTTAAACCCAACTCACTCACTAGTTGTATTTGCTGTACACAGATTATGACTGATACACATGCGTACATGCGTTATTAGAGATGCTAAAGTCTACGAACCGCCACAAACGTCAGATAAACGTAAAGTACCAAGCAGCCAAACATCGCCGCCGTTATTTAGGGTAATGTTCTCAAAACACACAGAATACACCTAGGGTGAAAAAGAAATATGTTGGCTGTAGCCATAAAGTAGGGCAAGTTAAATCTGATAACGGCTTGCAACATTTTTTGTTCAAGCCCTCCTGGCCAGTGAAGCTTGGAGACTAATTCATGAACTGATTAAAAGAATGATTTTTGTTGCCGTATAAAAAGTATAAAATCGCGATTATCATTGTTATACGGTCAACAAACGTCGTTGTGAAGAAATGAAATTAAGTGGTAAAAGTGCAAGTAATATTGTACAAAGATGTTGCTCACGTTAAACCGTTATATGTATCGACTTTGCTTAACCTAGCCAAGTCTTCCGCCCCGGTGTACACTGTAAACTGACCCTGGTCCGATCCGTTCCACTGAAACACGCCCAGGACAATAAACATGTTGAAATCGACTTCAATATCATTTTACGTTTCTGAGGTTATAAAGGTAGAATCCGGTGTGCACACTTTGCGGATTTGAACAGTGTCCACATCGGGTTATATGTCTATAACTTCATAAGCGCAAAAACATATTGAAGTCAAATCTTATAAATAAATACGTCAGTAATAATGACCTCACAGACTGCTTATTTTAACAAACATATTGAAGTCAAATCTTATAAATAAATACGTCAGTAATAATGACTTCACAGACTGCTTATTTTAACAAACATATTGAAGACAAATCTTATAAATAAAAACGTCAGTCATACTGACTTCACAGACTACTTATTTTAACACATATAAAACTGTAGACAGCAATACGAAAACAGTGACATCGTTCAGGGCAATAAAAAGGTTAACAGGCCGACCATTAGATATTTTGGAGGGGGACCTGAGATTTTGCATGGAGATCAGATATTTTTTCAGCTACAGCTGCAAACCAGATATTTTTTAAACTAAAACTAGGAGCCTGAAGAAAAACACATTGCAACGATGTAATTTTGTGACAGATAGTGATTTCTTGAACAGTCTGAAGCATAATTATTTTTTTCAAGATATTTCTCGGACAATATATGTTTTCGCTAGATCCAAGGACACGCACGCACGCACGCACGCACGCACGCACGCACGCACGCACGCACGCACGCACACACACACACACACACACACACACACACACACACACACACGCACGAATGTCAAATGGGTGGTCCCTAAAGTTTTACTTATACATTCAACAGGGAATATCCAGAGTATAAAACAATTTGGCTATAGTGGGAATATTTTTGAATGAAGAAATGCAAAAAGTCTTTATAAGTTAGTGACATTTTCGCATTTTCGCAATAAGGACTATTAGCAAAAGAAATGTTATTATACTAATAAATAATACAAGCTAAAACGCAAGGGCGTGATAATGCGGGATTATGGCCAAACATGATGGTTTCAAGTTCCTGCGTTCTTTTTGTTTTCCTCAAAATTCGCGGGATTGCGAAAATTCGAAAATGCTGATTGGGCATACGCGAATAAGGCCAGAGGGGTCATAAGGGGTCATAAGGCCAGAGGGGTCATAAGGCCAGAGGGGTCATAAGGCCAGAGGGGTCATAAGGCCAAAGGGATCATAAGGGGTCGTAAGGCCAGAGGGGTCATAAGGCCAGAGGGATCATAAGGGGTCATAAGGCCAGAGGGATCATAAGGGGTCGTAAGGCCAAAGGTGTCATAAGGCCAGAGGGGTCATAAGGTGTCATAAGGCCAGAGCGATCATAAGGGGTCATAAGGCCAGAGGGGTCATAAGGGGTCATAAGGCCAGAAGGATCATAAGGGGTCATAAGGCCAGAGGGGTCATAAAGGGTCGTAAGGCCAGAGGGGTCGTAAGGCCAGAGGGGTCATAAGGGGTCGTAAGGCCAGAGGGGTCATAAGGGGTCATAAGGCCAGAGGGGTCACTATCAAACACTTGCTTTGTAAAAGAAGCCAAAATGGTCATCAAGAGTATAGCTGAGGTTGAATGCGCCGAGGATGTCGTCCTTGATGATCTTCAAGAGCGGGTCCTCGTACCCCCACACCATATCCCACACTGTGTACTTCTCGTATAGGTTGCCCCCCAGGGCTTCAAGCAAAAGGTTGGTGATCTCTTTAACGACAGGGTACTCGAACCGGGTCATGTATGCTGCACCCTGGTGAACATGACATTTGTTTAAGCATCAAACATTTCATTCTCATAATGAATCACAAAATTATATTTTAGTTGAGATTCCGGGTTAGAATTGGTGCCCTGAAACCTATGCTGTTCGTAAGAGGCGGTAATGGAAGGTGGTCAAGCTCGGTGACTTGGTTGATTGCGCGTCTTCGTAATCTGACTATGTGAATTGTTGCTCATAATATCAATCACTGGAATGTCAGCTCTAGACTCAATTATGTTCCGGCCGCCGTGATATTGCTGGAATATTGCCGAATGTAGCATTAAACCAAAAAGAAATTTTGTGATATTATGATGTATGTTCGTACTGTGCATTTAACGACTCGCGTGGCTCCGTTCGATCAGTTTTATTTTTATTATACGATTAACCATGACGTTAGTTACCACTGCTGTTGCATTAACCGACTTCGTTCTATTGTAGTAAATAAACGAATTAATAAATGAATGAATGAATGAATGAATGGGCGAACGAACGAATGAATGAACGAATAAGAGAGTGATTGTCCTCCAAATATATCCGAAGACTTTCATAACAACATTAGACACACATGTTAATACTAAATATATGTCATTCACAGGCAGCAGATGTTGCTAATTGTACAACCTTTTTACGTTAGAATGTTTATCTGAGGTGCTTAATTGTCTAAATATAAAGTGAAAATTCAAGTAAATTTAGAATGAAATGCTATGTTATTTCAACAATAGAAATGTCCTTGTTCATTATAATATAAATAACACTCGCCCTTGGACCTGCTCACATGAGTTCAATAGTTCGTGGATATTCTGAGCTAATCAAGTAACATGTGTTTGGAAGACGACTATGTGTCGACGTTGCTCACCAGTAGGATGTTGTTGATGGTGGTGAAGGTGTCGTTCTCGTCCCCCACTGACAGCTCCCTGTCGAAGTAGTACCACGACAGCTGCCGAAACGTCACAGTGGAGTTGGCGTGGAAGGTGATGTTCTCTTTCTGCTTCTTTAATCTGAATCACATCGACACAAGACCAGGTGAGACCGCAGTCTTCAGTCACTTCGGAGTCCTTATCCTCCCAATAAATACCCAAACCCCCTACTGTCTGGTCCCAAAGAAACTCCTATTTGCCATGGTAAAACATATATAGGGTAACTGTCGCGTTGCTTCGCGGTACTATAGGGTTTTCCTCGTAATAATCTCCTCGTTCCCTTGCAGTTATCGTCGCGTTGCTTCGCGGTACTAAAGGGTTTTTCTCGTTATAATCTCCGCGTTCCCTTGCAGTAATCGTCGCGTTTCCTCGCGGTACTATAGGGTTTTCCTCGTTATAATCTCCGCGTTCCCTTGCAGTAATCGTCGCGTTGCTTCGCGGTACTATAGCGTTTTCCTTGTAATAATCTCCGCGTTCCCTTGCAGTAATCGACGCGTTGCTTCGCGGTACTAAAGGGTTTTCCTCGTTATAATCTCCGCGTTCCCTTGCAGTAATCGTCGCGTTCCTTCGCGGCACTATAGGGTTTTTCTCGTTATAATCTCCGCGTTCCCTTGCAGTAATCGTCGCGTTGCTTCGCGGTACTATAGGGTTTTCCTTGTAATAATCTCCGCGTTCCCTTGCAGTAATCGTCGCGTTGCTTCGCGGCACTATAGGGTTTTCCTTGTAATAATCTCCGCGTTCCCTTGCAGTAATCGTCGCGTTGCTTCGCGGTACTATAGGGTTTTCCTCGTTATAATCTCCGCGTTGCTTCGCGGCACTATAGCGTTGTCCTTGTAATAATCTCCGCGTTCCCTCACTGTGCTATATCGTTCACAATTATTGCGAAGGAACGCTCTAAGTTGAGCAAGAGGACCCTCTGATGTGTTGAGATCGCTATGATATTGCGACGGACACTGTTTTACCATGGCAGACAGGAGCTTCCGTTAGTTCTTTCCTCCCGTCCAGACAATACTGGACTTTTGTAAGATGAAGTACGCAATCTTCAATCGAAATTATTAAGTTTGTTAATAAGAGTATTTCCACCATTAAAGGTCCGCGGAGACCCAGGTAAAATAGGGCCCTACCACTTTATTGCTGCTCGAAAGTTTACCTGGGTTTACCAGGCCCCGTGACTTGACTAGTGTTGTCGTGCCCCGATGGCGTGTATCGATGCTCGAGCTTTCAGCCACTGGTTAACCTGGCTCAGACTCGATTATGTACAAGCCGTCAGGATATAGCTGGAACATGGACTGTCGCATGAAGCAACATTCGCATACTCATTCATGTCAGTGAGACCGAGTGTTGAGTTACAGGTACATGAATGTCCTATTGTCAATAGATCCAGGATCTTGAAGCGCCTTCAAACATAGACAGCATAGGATCATTCATTTCCGTGAAATCCTTATTCAGACAACTGAATAGGTGCAGCATGCGTAGGATGGAAATATATATTTAGCGTAATACCTCTCTGAACAGGTTTCATGGGAAACTCATTCGATTGAGAAGATTGTCCGGACCCCAAATACAATCTTGGTGCTCAGATGAATCCCATACTTTAGCATGTCACATACGACAGTCGTAACGCACACACTTCAACATGGACCTACGGCAGTCGTAACGTTAAGACGGTCGGAACGACCATACGTTAACACTGACCTACGACAGTCGTAACGCTAAGACGGTCGTAACACCCATACTTTATCATGGACCTACGACAGTCTTAACGCTAAGACGGTTGTAACACCCATACTTTATCATGGACTTAGGACAGTCTTAACGCTAAGACGGTCGTAACACCCATACTTTATCATGGACCTACGACAGTCTTAACGCTAAGACGGTCGTAACGACCATACTTTATCATGGACCTACGACAGTCGTAACGCTAAGACGGTCGTAACACCCATACTTTATCATGGACCTACGACAGTCTTAACGCTAAGACGGTCGTAACACCCATACTTTATCATGGACCTACGACAGTCGTAACCCTAAGACGGTCGTAACACCCATACTTTATCATGGACCTACGACAGTCTTAACGCTAAGACGGTCGTAACACCCATACTTTATCATGGACCTACGACAGTCTTAACGCTAAGACGGTCGTAACACCCATACTTTATCATGGACCTACGACAGTCGTAACCCTAAGACGGTCGTAACACCCATACTTTATCATGGACCTACGACAGTCTTAACGCTAAGACGGTCGTAACACCCATACTTTATCATGGACCTACGACAGTCTTAACGCTAAGACGGTCGTAACACCAATACTTTATCATGGACCTACGACAGTCGTAACCCTAAGACGGTCGTAACACCCATACTTTATCATGGACCTACGACAGTCTTAACGCTAAGACGGTCGTAACACCCATACTTTATCATGGACCTACGACAGTCGTAACCCTAAGACGGTCGTAACACCCATACTTTATCATGGACCTACGACAGTCGTAACGCTAAGACGGTCGTAACGGCCATACTTTATCATGGATCTACGACAGTCGTAACCCTAAGACGGTCGTAACTCCCATACTTTAACTTGGACCTACGACAGTCGTAACGCAAAGGCGGTCGTAACTCTCATACGTTAACACTGACTTACGACAGTCGTTGTCCTGGAAACCAGTGTTTCTTAAAATGGTCACCAGCAACGTTAACAGTATAACGTATTAACCACTGAAAAAGTACACAGTGGCAAAAGTTAGTAAATAAAGTTAAATATCAACATCTGCCGTATCACTAATTTAAATGTCGTTGTCTTTATTACCATTACCACAGGACCGCCTCCGTGGTGTAATGGTAGGGCGTCCGCCCGGAGAGCGGAAGGTCCGTAGTTCGATACCCGGCCGCGTCATACCAAAAGATGTGAAATGTTGGTACTTGTTGTCACCCTGTCTGGCGCTCGGCATTAAGGGGATAAAGGACTGGTCGGCTCGGAGTTAGTATACTGTGTCTGAGTGGGGTATTCATGTTAAACTGCGGCATGGTATCTCAGTGGGCTAGCACTATAAAATCAGTCCGGACAAGTACACACCAACGCGCATGCACGTCGCTATATAATCTACGCGACTTTCAACCCCATTTCACATCACTTCACCTAAATTTCCAAAGAGACCGTCATGTGAAGAGTACCGATCACTCTACAGTCCGTCACTTCAAGCAGTTCAATATGCGTCTATCAGTCGGTACCTATGTTTATCTGTCGTCCGAACCGACACTCATCCCTACCTGTACGTGTATGGCCCCTTTTCAACAACATAAGGTTTGACGCCAAGGTCCATGACTTCATCAGCGTTGATAACGTCGAATACCCACAACTGAATTTGCATCGGTACGGGCAAATCACGCCACTTCTCGTACGAGTAGGACCCCACTTCCAAGGGCAGCATCTGGAAGACAAACACAACAAATATAATGTTATAACTATTTAATATCCTCTTGTACAGTCAAATGAACAGATTAGGAGATAAAATGTTAACGTACACATCGCCGTTGCATCAAAAAAACCAGAAAATGCAAAATCACAGCAATCATCCGGCAATACTTTGTACAGATATTCAAAATGTGCCCCACAGTAGTTTAAGTGTATGTGCCTCAAGGTAACTCGAGTGTATGTGCAGTGGACAGAATGTGCACAACGTAGCGTGGACAAGATGAGCTACGTAGTGTTACATATTACCTCATGTGTATGTGCTACGTAGTGGACACAAGATCTGCTGTGTAGCGTTACATATTACCTCAAGTGTATGTTCTACGTAGTGGACACAAGATCTGCTGTGTAGTGTTACATATTACCTCATGTGTAGTTTTACATATTACCTCAAATGTATGTGCTACGTAGTGGACACACGATCTGCTGTGTAGTGATACATATTACCTCATGTGTATGTGCTACGTAGTGAACTAAGAATTTGCTGTATAGGGTGTACAACATGTTCTACATAGCGTCACACACTACCTCAAGTGATTATGCTACAGGTGAAAATAAGAATGAAAGAGATATGTATTGATTTAGAGATCATCACATGATTATATATTATACATTTAGAGGGCATTCGCTCTGTGTTACATATTACCCCATGTGTATGTGCCTCGTAGTGGACACACGAACTGCTGTGTAGTGTTATATATTACCTCAAAAGTATATGCTAAGTTGTGGACACAAGATCTGCTGTGTAGTGTTACAAATTACCTCATGTGTATGTACTACGTAGTGGACACAAGATCTGCTATGTAGTGTTACATATTACCTCATGTGTATGTGCTACGTAGTGGACACAAGATCTGCTGTGTAGTGATACATATTACCTCATGTGTAGTGATACATATTATCTCATGTGTATGTACTACGTAGTGGACACAAGATCTGCTGTGTAGCGTTACATATTACCTCATGTGTAGTGATACATATTACCTCATGTGTATGTACTACGTAGTGGACACAAGATTTGCTGTGTAGCGTTACATATTACCTCATGTGTAGTGATACATATTACCTCATGTGTATGTGCTACGTAGTGGACACAAGAACTGCTGTGTAGTGTTACGTATTACCTCATGTGTAGTGATACATATTACCTCATGTGTATGTGCTACGTAGTGGACACAAGATCTGCTGTGTAGCGTTACATATTACCTCATGTGTAGTGATACATATTACCTCATGTGTATGTACTACGTAGTGGACACAAGATCTGCTGTGTAGCGTTGCATATTACCTCATGTGTATGTGCTACGTAGTGGACACAAGATCTGCTGTGTAGTGTTACATATTACCTCATATGTAGTGATAGATATTACCTCATGTGTATGTACTACGTAGTGGACACAAGATCTGCTGTGTAGTGTTACATATTACCTCATGTATAGTAATACATATTACCTCATGTGTATGTACTACGTAGTGGACACAAGATCTGCTGTGTAGCGTTACATATTACCTCATGTGTAGTGATACATATTACCTCATGTGTATGTACTACGTAGTGGACACAAGATCTGCTGTGTACCGTTACATATTACCTCATGTGTAGTGATACATATTACCTCATGTGTATGTACTACGTAGTGGACACAAGATCTGCAGTGTAGTGTTACATATTACCTCATGTGTATGTGCTACGTAGTGGACACAAGATCTGCTGTGTAGTGTTACATATTACCTCATGTGTAGTGATACATATTACCTCATGTGTATGTACTACGTAGTGGACACAAGATCTGCTGTGTACCGTTACATATTACCTCATGTGTAGTGACACATATTACCTCATGTGTATGTACTACGTAGTGGACACAAGATCTGCTGTGTAGTGTTACATATTACCTCATGTGTATGTGCTACGTAGTGGACACACGATCTGCTGTGTAGCGTTACATATTACCTCATGTGTAGTGATACATATTACTTCATGTGTATGTACTACGTAGTGGACACAAGATCTGCTGTGTAGTGATACATATTACCTCATGTGTAGTAATACATATTACCTCATGTGTATGTACTACGTAGTGGACACAAGATCTGCTGTGTAGTGTTACATATTACCTCATGTGTAGTGATACATATTACCTCATGTGTATGTACTACGTAGTGGACACAAGATCTGCTGTGTAGTGATACATATTACCTCATGTGTAGTGATAGATATTACCTCATGTGTATGTACTACGTAGTGGACACAAGATCTGCTGTGTAGTGTTACATATTACCTCATGTGTAGCGATACATATTACCTCATGTGTATGTACTACGTAGTGGACACAAGATCTGCTGTGTAGCGTTACATATTACCTCATGTGTAGTGATACATATTATCTCATGTGTATGTACTACGTAGTGGACACAAGATCTGCTGTGTAGCGTTACATATTACCTCATGTGTAGTGATACATATTACCTCATGTGTATGTACTACGTAGTGGACACAAGATCTGCTGTGTAGCGTTACATATTACCTCATGTGTAGTGATACATATTACCTCATGTGTATGTACTACGTAGTGGACACAAGATTTGCTGTGTAGCGTTACATATTACCTCATGTGTAGTGATACATATTACCTCATGTGTATGTGCTACGTAGTGGACACAAGAACTGCTGTGTAGTGTTACGTATTACCTCATGTGTAGTGATACATATTACCTCATGTGTATGTGCTACGTAGTGGACACAAGATCTGCTGTGTAGCGTTACATATTACCTCATGTGTAGTGATACATATTACCTCATGTGTATGTACTACGTAGTGGACACAAGATCTGCTGTGTAGCGTTGCATATTACCTCATGTGTATGTGCTACGTAGTGGACACAAGATCTGCTGTGTAGTGTTACATATTACCTCATATGTAGTGATAGATATTACCTCATGTGTATGTACTACGTAGTGGACACAAGATCTGCTGTGTAGTGTTACATATTACCTCATGTATAGTAATACATATTACCTCATGTGTATGTACTACGTAGTGGACACAAGATCTGCTGTGTAGCGTTACATATTACCTCATGTGTAGTGATACATATTACCTCATGTGTATGTACTACGTAGTGGACACAAGATCTGCTGTGTAGCGTTACATATTACCTCATGTGTAGTGATACATATTACCTCATGTGTATGTACTACGTAGTGGACACAAGATCTGCAGTGTAGTGTTACATATTACCTCATGTGTATGTGCTACGTAGTGGACACAAGATCTGCTGTGTAGTGTTACATATTACCTCATGTGTAGTGATACATATTACCTCATGTGTATGTACTACGTAGTGGACACAAGATCTGCTGTGTACCGTTACATATTACCTCATGTGTAGTGACACATATTACCTCATGTGTATGTACTACGTAGTGGACACAAGATCTGCTGTGTAGTGTTACATATTACCTCATGTGTATGTGCTACGTAGTGGACACACGATCTGCTGTGTAGCGTTACATATTACCTCATGTGTAGTGATACATATTACTTCATGTGTATGTACTACGTAGTGGACACAAGATCTGCTGTGTAGTGTTACATATTACCTCATGTGTAGTAATACATATTACCTCATGTGTATGTACTACGTAGTGGACACAAGATCTGCTGTGTAGTGTTACATATTACCTCATGTGTAGTGATACATATTACCTCATGTGTATGTACTACGTAGTGGACACAAGATCTGCTGTGTAGTGATACATATTACCTCATGTGTAGTGATAGATATTACCTCATGTGTATGTACTACGTAGTGGACACAAGATCTGCTGTGTAGTGTTACATATTACCTCATGTGTAGCGATACATATTACCTCATGTGTATGTACTACGTAGTGGACACAAGATCTGCTGTGTAGCGTTACATATTACCTCATGTGTAGTGATACATATTATCTCATGTGTATGTACTACGTAGTGGACACAAGATCTGCTGTGTAGCGTTACATATTACCTAATGTGTAGTGATACATATTACCTCATGTGTATGTGCTACGTAGTGAACTCAAGATTTGCTAAATAGGGTGTACAACCTGTTCTACATAGCGTCACACACTACCTCAAGTGATTATGCTACAGGTGAAAATAAGAATGAAAGAGATATGTATTGACATGATTATATATTTTACATTTAGAGGGCATTCGCTCGTCACGCCGAAGACCCGAATTTGATTCCATATATTGATGCAATGTGTGAAGCTCATTCGTCGTGTCCTTCATCAGAAGCGGCAATAATGCCAAAAGCGGCATAAATTATTACTCACTCCTATATCGAAACATTAAGCACACTCATAACACAAGATAACCAGCGTCTGAATCCAGACAAGATGTTTATTTAGCTGCTCTGGCGCATTGTCTTATACAGTGTTGGGACGGAATCGAAATGTGTGTAAAGCCTGATTAAGCAGACAATTGGTCACCTTGACACAACTATGTGACAGATGTTATAGATTTACATAACGCGACGTTCCTGCCTGTTCATGCCGATGACGTTATGTCACAACACTGCAGTTGCTGTGACTACGCTTGTCAAACACTCCCCAGATAAGTTAAACCTGACTCTTGTGTACTCCGTTATGGGCAAACTAGGGTTGTGTTTAGGGGCATTGTTTCAATAGGGAGTTAGGTTTAATGTTATAAAAAAAATTAACATGAATTTAAAACGATGAGCCACAGCAATTTAATTATTGTAATTATTCTACCTTAAAATGAGCAAACGGAATAAATGTGTAATTCTCGTTGGTGATCTCAGGCTGATAATGTGTCATCGTACCAGGATGGCGTAGATCGCTGATCAAGTTTTCAACACTGGCTGCTCTGGTCAAGACTTGATTGCTCTACACAGAGACCATATACCGATATATGGTCTCTGCTCTACAGACTGCTGCGAGGTAACTGA